TCGGAGGGGGGGGGGATACTCATAGGCGTGCATGCCCTAGACGTTAGACCATTGACCCAGTATCCCTACAAAGCCGGGACCGAGCACACCGGGTTCTCACTGGACCAGGTGCTCACATAACCAAGCGCGAAGCGCCGTGAGNGACAGGAGCATGCGTATGCCTGAAAAGGGCTACTATGTGTGGGCCCCCTTCCCCGAATTCGGGAGGGCCACTTCTTCCCTTCCTTTCCTCGCTCCCGCGGGTGCCTAATACAGAGAGAGTTAAAGCGTGTCTTCTCCTCCCAAGTACGGACATACCAACAGACCACGTGTCCTCGAGAGGAAGGAGCACCGTTCCCACAGGACCGATCAAATATGGCTCATCGCCTCTTCCTACTTTGCCAAAGGTGGCTCAAAAACGTTTCCTGGCTGTCTATCCTATCGATATCACTTCCCCGCCTTCTCAACTCACTTCCTACACCCTACAGCTATCTATCTACGTTTCGCAATCTCAGACGTGCATATTTCTCCCTCCTTGTCGTACGACGGACATTCCGCGACTACATGAACCCTTTCATTGCACTTGAGACGCCCGGTTGTTCCATACTGCTAGTGGTAAACGCGCCATTTTACTCTTAGGGGCACGTTGAAAATCAACCCAGGAAGATCTCTCGTGTGTGATTTGCGTGGGGCAATCAGCGTACAAGTAGGAACAAGAACCCGTTAATCCTGGGTGGATTCCTGCTCAAATATCGAACTTGGAGAATGACGGCATGGGCTCGGTTTGAGGCAACCAATAGGCGTCGAGCCTCACTCAACGTAAGTGGTTTCAAGTGGTGGCGTGTTCTGCAAGAAATGCCATTTTCCTTCTCTTTGGCTGAGGTCCATGTTAGCTGAAGAGGCCTTTCGTGTATGGGCGTGAACTCCCAGTCCGTCATGAATGCAGTCTCCCTGTGTATTTGCGGGGGGTGGCTGCTCCTTCCGTCCCTGCAGCTTGGCACAGGGTATCTACGAAACACACACCACGAAAACAGCAACAATCGTAGCAACAACTCCAGAATGGAGGACGACGGCACCACCATCAACGGCACCATGATCGATAGCTGGGACAGGACATGCAGTGGCGACCCTGCTGGGGTAAAAAAGTTGCGCGGGGTTCATTTTTCTAGTGTAGCTGTTGTGCCGTGGGTTACGGAAACCAGTTGTCGGCCTTTTGTCTTTGGCTCTCCCCTCCGGCTACTTTATTGCCATGTGAAAGGCTTTCAAGATGGGCCCATGATGGATGCCTGAAGGGGCGTGGATGCGCAAGTACAAGTGGGACAAGACTGGAAATGTTTTGGAATAAATAAATGTACGGTGTTACCCTTTCGCGCCTTTCCCACAGCCGGTCCTGTCGCATGTGCATCGATGTCGGACGCCATCATTGTCTATGCGTGTGCTTGCCGGCCATTTCGAGATTCTTGTCCTAGCGAAAGGTGAAATCCATCTAGACTACAAGAATGCCGCGCAAGGAAGGAAGGGCACAGCAGGCACGACACGGAAGGGGTGACATACAAGAGACATGTTTCTTCCAAGGCTGGCAACACCTCTAGACCACACCTAGTCGAGGGTAAGTTTGGATCTGACGCTGATGCATGTAACGACAGGCGTGTGTGCAGGTTTTGGCTGTTGTTGTAGCTGTGGCTAGCGGCAGAGGCCATGCGGGCGGGAGCATGCCCTGGGCGTGACTCGTCATACCTTCCGGTACGTGCGAGGCACGGACAGTCCCTGGCTTGGCCTGCCCGCTCGCCGGGATATCCTGGCCGCTCGCCGGCTATTGGTGCCCGTTACAGGCGGACGGCTGCTAGCACCCCATTCGCACACTCTTATTTGGTTGAAGCCGTAGAAGCTGCAGGATAGGTTGTGGAAGCTGCGGCCCAAGCGATGGAGAGAGGGGAAAAAGCGAAAGAAACCCTGGGCGAGGACACGGGAGAGCCAGAGCGCAAAGGAGATGATCCTGACGACATCAATCCCCGGGAGTACGTGTGAGCACTACGGCGACAATCCAACGGTTGGCTGAACTCGTGGGATGGCGTGCGTTGCCCCGCCATGTCCGCGGTCCTATAATAGCTCGTCTGATAAGTAGTATATATTCCATTCGTGCGTCACATGCCCTGGTCAACCTATTGTATGCCTGGCAGGTCGGCGGAGCCCTCCAACAAGGGTTTCTTTGATGCCGTCGCCAACGAACTTCGGGAGTTGGCAGACGAAGCCAAGCGGGAGGCTGAGGAAGAAGCTGCGCAAGCTGGGCACGGGTGGGTGAATTTTGTTGCTGCTTGACGAGGCTTGGATGGTTTCGATAGTTACACACGAAAAGCAACGGGATTACGGGCGTCGACAGTAGGTGGGACTGGGATTGAACTGTCGTCGTCCCTGGCGCCAGTTGCGTTTGGCGATTCGTTTACCTTATATGTGACGCTTCTTTTATATTGTCCATGTGATTTAGACTCGTCTGTTGAAGCGTACAAATGCGGCCAAGTGTCCGCTTGATTGAGAAGGCACCGCCTTGTGTATCGCATGGACCCGGGAATACATAGTTGTTTTGGCCTCCTGCAGTGTTGAGGCAACAATCGGGCTGTTCTCACATTAGCGAGGCTATACGCTTTTCTCGGGGCGTTGGTAATGAAACCTCAAAACGTTGCGGAACATCTAGGCCCTGGTCTCGTCCGCATGAAACCTTGCTTCCAAAAAACGTTTCCGGCAAATCGCTATAATCATGTCCAAAGTAATTGCCACGATTGGCCTTCTCTCATGAAACCCCATCCGCTACGTATGAGTTGGAAAACAACATTTCAGTCTCCGAATGTTGCGTAACACCACGGCGTCACCAAGTTTGGTTGTGAGGGGACCACATCGGTGCCATGCAACTTGCGAGTTGTAGAAAAATGTTCGCGATGTTCTCCCCCGACGGGCCAAAAATGGTGTTGTTGGCAATGTTCTCAGGCCAACCGGGCACACAAGCAATGGACTGTTTGGCTCTGAGACCGTGGAGGGTGAGACACCAACAAGGCGCTCGATCATCAACAGTACCGCTGCGTGCCTGATGGAGCCGAGGTGGGAGGAAGCAAGGAAGGAAGCTGAGAGAACGGCCTTGGAGGCCGCCCGACTTGTGGAGGCAGCCCTCGGCGGCCTTTGACCTCAATGCAGTCGAAGACGTGGAAGCCGCAGAAGCTCTAGACTCCGGAGAAGACGAAGAAGAGGACGACATCGACGCCGGTGACGGTGCCTATGGGTGAGTTTGAAGATGCCTTCCCACCCAGCCGCAGCGTGCGCGTTCGGAGAAGAATCTAGACTGAGTGCTTCTTTCGAAAGGACAGCCACACCCTGTATTGTTCCCCCGATAGGCCTCTGTTGTTGGTTGTGGTGGCCTGCGTTGACCAATTCCCGTGGAAAACCCTTGGAGAGATCGACAGAACATACCAGCAGATGTATTGGCGGCTGGGTCAAGAAAACAACCACGAAGGCCAAGTCCGGGGCCCAGAGCGCGGCCAACAAGACGAAGAAGGCGGCCCAGGCGGCTGCCCGAAAAGTTGAGGAGGCAGCTAAACAGGCGAGATAACCTGTTTACCGTTGGTTGTTTCTGCATACGTAGCATCTTATGTTGATTGTTGATGTTTTTTGTTCTATAGTAAAACCCGTTGCGGTCTCTGCTCAGTACCTTCAACAGCTTACCGGTTCAAGTGACGCGGCAGACACCTTCTGTGGTCACAATGCAACTGCGCAACGTAGAGTGCCGAGTAGGCAATATCACCACGAACGCGGTGATAGAGCACAAACCCCAAACAAAAAGACATTGGGAGAGCCCCAGCCAGACAACACGCAGACATCGCTGGTGACATTTGGTATGGGGCAAAGGAGATGCACGACTACATGAGTGGACGACAAGACGTGTTACGTAGCGATAGCGATCACGGTGCGACGTGTTTTGATTGGCATCAAGCAGGCGAAACGGGAGGCGAAGAGAATTTCCAAGGACGCAGCGCGCAGAGCTGAAGCAGCAGCCCTTCAAGCCAAGAGGGAAGCGGAGAAGGCTGCAAAGGCCATGGCTCAAGCCGCCGAACAAACAAAGAAGGCAGGAGCGCTTGTTGCAAACGAGGTGCATGAGACAATCGGCATGTACTGCGACATTATGTACAGCATGAGGTCAAACACCTCCCACACTTGAGGGAGAAGCAACCCCGTGCTGTACGATTATCTACCCTCACTGTTGCGGGCTTTCAGAACCGTAAGCTATCGCACTAGGAATCAGACACAGCGTCTCCGGAAAACCGGTTAACTGAACCGATTATTGCAAAGTATTCGAGTTGGCGGAGTAGACTGGAAGGGCACATCAGCACTTCCTAGGGAGAGATGCACTTCCTTCCTCCTCGCTAGATTTGGCCCCGTCGCCGTGTGGATGTTGAGATAGGTACGGCGAGAGTATTGTTGTCTCGAGCCGAAACAGACACATGCTCCCGTTCATGGAGTTCTACTGGTGCGCATGCATGCGTGAATACGTCCGGTCCCCGGCAGGTAGTCGACAAGGCGAAGATAGCGGCGGATGTGGCGAAGCAGGCCGCGGAGGGTGCCGGGACGCTGGCGGAAGACGCCGTGAACGAGGTGGGAGATGTGGCGGGTGACATCAAGGACGGAGTCCAGGACGCGGCCGGCACTGTGAAGGACGGCATCGTTAACGCGGCCGACAAGGTGCCAAACGCTGTGCTTTCTTATGCCTTCCTTTCTCTTGCCTCGGGTTGAGAGTGCCTAGACAAGGAGTGGATCATGAACCGCGTGAACATCACGTACGTTGAACAAGCCGTTGTCAAAGTAGGAATGCGGACAGTGTTCGATTGTCCTTTCTCACCGAAAAATCCCACTCACAATCAAGGCAGGATCTGCGAGAGTCGATTAGTCGAACGTCCCAACTGCTTTGTTACAGGCAAGCATTCATTTTCACGCAGGTTGCTTGATGGCTCGAACGTTGGACGCGACGTGCGTGCAAACCAAGCTTCTTAACGCCACATCTACCCTTTGAAAACGCTTTTGTCACTGCTGTTCTGTGGAACAGGTCAAGGATGTTGCCAAGGATGCCGTCGAGGTTGTGGGTGATGTGACGATGAAGGTGGTCGAGGTGGTGGAAGAGGTGGTCGTTGAGGTGAGACGCGGTCGAAGAGATACGGTGCTCTACGTAGTTTGGGTCTGGCGCAGCGCACCAGTCACTGACATTCGCGCCGCAGCGCCATCGTCACGCCGTCGTGGCTGTCAGGACTACTGTGGATACTTGGCGGCAGTTCTCACTCCTGAATGCCTACAATACTTGTCTGTTCCATGAGGGTGTTGATCGTGTACAGTGGTATTGGTCCTGGAGCCCGATTCAGCACATCTTGATTTTTTTCTCGGTCTGGCCCGTCATCAAACCCAACAAATTATATATCAAATGAAAGCTACGGACCATAGCTTTCGAATGCAGCTATTTTCATCTTTCACAACATACCTTCCTCGCGACTTATGTATATCTGAAGTTGGGTAGGAGAGGGCGGCGGGGATGCAAAATGGCTATTTGCGGGACCCCGAGGTGGGTTGTGAAAAAAACAAAACGTGTTTTTGGAATCCTCGTGAAAAACTGGTTCTAGGACGTTTGTTCCGAAACGCAACAATGCCGGGCCAGAACCCGAAAAAAATCAAGATGTAAAATTCAAAAATTGTGCATCTGGACACACTGCTGGGTTGTGCGGGACAGAGACCACGAAAGATATGGACTTCGATGATGAGGACTCACAGGAGTACAGAGACGTGCAGAGCACCCTTCCGGACGGATACACCATTCGCAAGGTCGCCATCGACAGGAAAACCGCGCGCAAGTACCGTCTCACAATAGCCGTTACCTCTGCTGGTGATGCGGACCGGCTGAAGTGGCGCAGCCGATGGATCACAAAGGGGAAACCGCGTGCGCGGCTGGCTTCTGCCGAGCGTGAGTGCATCGATGAGCTGTCGCTCTTGACATGGTTGGACCTTCAGGCAATGAGCGCTACTGCTGAGGGTGTGCCAAGCGCACCTACGCGCGACGGCATGCTGCGAGATGCAGCCCCAGAACCTGGTTCTCTCAAAGAACCTGGCGTTGGAGGCACACGGAAGAGGCCGCGCAACGCATGTTGGGGTGGCACCAGAGAGGGCGCTGGACGAATGAAGGGGAGCGTCGGCAAGAGGGCCACACGGGAGCGAGCTATTGCCTTGCGGCAGCAACTCACGCAGGCCATCCCCGACGCTTTTGAACTCTCCTGTTGGCAGCTGGAGGAAGCCTTGGCAGTGTGGAAGGAGATCGAGCCTGAGCTTGTCGACAAGGCCAGGAAGAAATTCCTGAACAAGGGGTACAGCCAATCGCAGGCGCTGAAAAAGATGAAGCGCGCTCGAGATGCGGAAGCGAGGGTGGTGATGAGGGATGTGGTGGCCCACGATTTTCGTGAAGAGCAGCTGAAGTACTTTGCGAAGGTCAGGAGGGACGCTGCGGTGGTCATCAGCGCATCAGCAGTCGAGGAGGAGGATGATGTGAGTTTTCATAAATGCAATTAAACTGCACAAAGTACTGCTGTACTGTACTGCTGAAGTACGGTTTGTAAACTTATGGGCATTACTGCTGTGTGTTACTACACCGGTTGTTGCATGGTCAGCTGCTTTGTACACAGCAGTGCATTCTCTCCCATGACTGTTGGCAGCGCGTGCCTCTGCCTGTGCTGTGAAATCTTTTGCTGGGGCTAATTGCACTCGTCAAACTCCATTCTGCTTTTATTTCACCGAACCAGGTCCCTTCTGCAGCCAAGAGCCTGTCCAACTACCAGCGAGGAGAGATTGTTGTGCATGCACTCACCTTGGCGGAACTGTACAGACAACAGAACGACGGCGTCGATCGCGAGACCGCTCTACAGATGGCGGCAGAGACGGGATTTTGTACCCCCGACACCGTGCGCGAGTGGGAAAGAAGTTTCCTCGCGCGCGGTCACATCAAGGTCTCTGCAGCGGGGCGCTTTCAGCGGAACTTTCTCTTGGGGCTCGACAACAGCATACTCACCGAGTGCAAGGACTGGACGCGCGCTTGGGGTGGGATACTCAAGGGACAGGCGAACAAAACAGCCGAGGACTTCCGCCAGTTCGTCAACACCGACATCATGCCCAAGATTGAGGCGCTGATGACGCCTGACTACGACCCTTTCAAGGGGCTGCGAGTCAACCTGGTGGAAGTAAAAAAGGGTGAGCCCAAGAAGCGACACATTTCGATTTGGACTGCAACAGCGTGGCTAAAAAAGCTTGGGTGCGAGTACCACCAAGGCAAGGGTGGCTTGTACTTCGATGGGCACGATGACGAGAAGGTCTTGGAGTACCGAAACGACACGTACCTTCCGGAGCTTTTCAAGACCCGCGACTACATGGAGGTTTGGATTCCGATGGAGGTAGCTGAAGCGGAGACATGGGGTGTATCGACATCACGCGTGGGCGATTTCGACAGAACAGACGACGGCGGAGTGTGGGTCGGTGTTGACGATCTGGAGCCAGTCTTGACGGACTTACCGAAATCGCTGCAGGAACGAGTGACGAGCAAGCTACGGTACGAGGACGGCAAGATGGCGCTTCTCTGCTACCAGGACGAGAGCATCTTCAGAGGTAAATTCTACATTAGAAAATTGAAGCTGGAGAAGAATGTATTCATATTGTCAGTAAAAATCATGTTGAATGTTTTCGAATTCTGTCTTTTTTCGTGCTTCAAAAGTTACCTACGTCGCATGTGAGTTATGGCTGGTTCGGAAATGAAGTTAATATTTTTTACAATGCCACCGTTAAGTGTACCCCTTCTTGTCCCTTCGTTTCCCTCTACCCCGTATCTGTTCCCTCTTTGACCGCAGCCAACGACGACCAAAAAGCCGCGTGGTGGGCGCCAGACGTGCACGTGGTGAGGAAGAAATCGCCCGGGCAGGGTATCATGGTGTCGGGAACCATCATTCACAACGTTGGATTCGTCTCGGCCACGAAGCGGGAGATCAAGTCCGCCGAGCAGCTCCGCAGGAAGCGTTGCAACGCCTCGGCTGCTGCAGCTAAGCGAGGGGAGAACGTGAAAGTCGAGGTTTACCGGCGGATCGACAAGCTGTACGTCGACGAGGAAGGCAACTACTGGTCTTACCACCTCTTTGAGTATGGCAAGAACAAGGAGGGGTACTGGACTGGCCTCAAGATGCTCGACCACATGTCGGACGTCATCGACATGCTTGCGATCAAGTACCCCAACCACAAACCAGTGGGGCTGTTCGACTGGTCGTCCTGCCACGACTGCTTGGAGGAAGGCGCACCAACGGTGAAAAGGATGAACGTGGGACACGGTGGGAAGAGGCAGGGAGAAGAGATCGCCGGGATGGATGCCGTTACCCTGAGGGAAGACACCCCTAACCTCGGAAAGGGCTCCATCCAGCACTTGGTTTTTCAACCAGGAGACGACCCCCCGATGTACGCTCCGCATCTAGCGCCGGCGGAGTACGTAGGGAAGCTGAAAGGCATGCGGCAGATCTTGTGGGAGAGGGGGCTCCTGAAGGACGGCATGAGCAAGTCGGGGGGCAGCGGCACGAAGCAGGACCTCAGCATGAGCATGGAGCACGTCCTGGGCGAGCAGAAGGACTTTAAGGAAGTGGAGTCCAGCCTAGCGCTCCTGATGGCGCGCCACGGGGGGTTCTGTATCATGCTCCCCAAGTACCACTGCGAGTGCAACCCCATAGAGCTAGTTTGGGGCCGCGCCAAGGACTGGACACGCAAGCATTGCAACTACTCATTAGATGCACTGCGGGAAAACGTGCCGTTGAGCTTTAGAGTAGAGCCTGATAGGCAAGCCGTGGGAACGGTGCAGGCGTACTGCAAGAAGTCGTACACACATAATTTGGTGTACCGTGATACGCGTGCTGTAGGGCCTGAGGGAGAGAAACACTACCAAACGTACAAATCGCACAGGCGCCCAGCACCATCTGAGTACAAGCTCAAGGCTGCGAATGCCCCCTAAATTTTCGTTAAGTTAAACCTTTACATACTGTACCGTTAAATTTCGTCTGTTTTTTGCGTTTTTTGGCGTGTTTTTTTTCTCATTTTACATACCTGTTTTTTATAGCATTTTATCGTAATATTTGGGGTGTTCTCGGTTGCTTCGTTTTGTTGCAAGGTGCAGAAGGTGCCATAGGTCATATAGTGGCGGGGGGGCTTGGTAAGAGCAGCTTTCCGGTAGTTTTTAGTCACACGGGCGTTAAAAAATGAGGATTCGACGAAAAAAAAAATAGGAAAATGTATCGAGAAGACTACATTGAAACGACATCGTCCGTGGTTCGAGGCCGGCCCTCGACCACTTTTCCCCCTTTTTTTTTTTTTTATTGTCGTCTTGCTAGTCTTAAGCACCTTGCCGCGTGCGTTCCCAAGATACCTTTAGCTTTTTTGTTGTCGCCCGCAATCAAAAGTTACAGAGGGCCAACTGCATCGGGCTCCAGGACCAATACCACTGTACCTTGCCAACCACTCAATGCGTCGTAGAATCGTCCGATCAACGTTGTGGGCTCCCCGCCGATCAACCCCCCGTCGAACGTTCTTTGCTGCTGGATAATCAGGTGTGGGAACACACTCCAGAGGGACTGAAGAAGGTGGCCAGGAAAGTGTCGGTGAGCTATATAGTCCCTCGTCGCGTTGGAAGAGTATTCAATTTGGACAACGAAGCCCCCCTCCTGTTTTCAAGACGTTCCTTCTAAGAGGACCAAGTATACACGCCGTGTGCAAGTGGGGTCCTCTTCTTTCGATTGTCCACTTCGAAACAACGATGCTCCCCCTTGCACTGATACCTAGTGTATTTTCGTTCTGGTACAGGTGGGCATCACGACTGAATTGGTTGATGGATACGCCATCAATCCATCGGGCTAGAGAATGGTGAACGTTTGATCGGTGTTTTTTGTTTTGAAGGGTATTGGCTCTTACCCTGATTGAAATCAAGACCGAGGCAACAAGTTGAACTAGAGACAAGCAAAGGTTCGCAATGAAAGGGCAACCAACACGATCTGAACAGCACAGCCGTACAACGAACATGACTCCACCTTTTTTTGGCCAATGGGAGATATCGCACCATCTAGACTATTTATCATTCACAACCCCCTATTCGACACTTCTCCTCCTTCGATCGAGTCTTGGAGGAAGGCGCAGGTGTAAGGGAATTGAATTGTGCGTGCTCCAGAACAGCCACGACTAGCGTTTGATCATTAACATCCGTCAGCAGCACAGTTGCGACTGGTTCGAACCGTCCCAGTACCCCGGCCCGGCATTCTTGCCTTGATCCCAACCCTTCCAGAAAGTTGTCAAGAAGGGGGTGGATTTTGTGGTGAAGATCGGCAAGGTGGTGTATCAACTCGTGGAAACCAAGCTCGAGCAGCTCATCAAGGCATGTGGGACAAAAGTAAGGTTTGGACGTGCGGGTTGCGGCAGACAACACCAAATCGAAAAACTACACCGCATGTGACTGTAGGCAGAAGGACAAGATGCATTCACGGATTCAAACCTGTCACTGGCTGTAGTCCACGTCGAATCCCCTGCTACTCATGCAGAGACGAACATCGATCTGGACCAAGGCATTCATTGCTGCATTACAATGAGGTCCAAGCTGGTGCTTGTGGTTGCCGCGAATAGTGCGAGAAGAGTGAGGCTCGAAATGGCAGTAACGTGACCACGCCCGGGTTGAGTTACACGACGATGTGGGCCACAACTGATCTTCTTGCGATTTGCATGACGCTGGATAGCTCGAACGCAGCCGCACTGCAATTCTGCGTTGAACGTATGTTCACTCCTGCGTCTGTTGATGCTACCGTACCGAACGAACAGACGGGTATCATGAAGGCCATCGAATGGCTCGCCAACTTCTTCAAGTACAAGGAGATTTTGAAGACCGCCGAGATATTGGAAGCCCAGGTAGGTGTTGGCTGGGATGGACGAGTCCGTCAAATCGATTCCCACTCGCGGAGACATCAAGGAATACTTCAATGAAATCCGCCACGTGCTGGAGAAGAAGACGTGAGCATGAGCCTCCCGCTTTGGTACTCCTCTTATGGAATAGAAGCACGTGGTTAGGGTTGCACCTTAGACTACTGCAGTATCCAATTTTTCTTCTTGGCCTGTTGGATATGCCTATGAGTCTCGGGTTGGTTGTCGAATGAAATGTCACGAGTCGCTAGCACGTAGGGTAGAGGNGCAACGATGCACACACACTGACCTCTTCTTGTGCAATCGAACGACTGTACCGAGTGCGATGAGTAGTGAAGATACTCGTACCAGCTGTAGTAGCCGATGTAGCGTCGGAGCACAGGCCTCCTTGTGGATGTTGTGGTCTTATTCTTTTAGTTCAAGCCCAGGATGGTAGCATGGTTGTGAGCAGAGGACGGCGAGTCCAGACAGCTCTTGCAGAGGCTCCGCTGAATGCGGCCTACTACCTCTGTGGGGTTGTACATACGGAACAATGAATGCCCCGAACCGTAACATCCCCCCTAGTATATTATCAACTCATAATATACTAACGCCTCATTCGGTACTTAACCAGAGGAATGGTAGAACTGCGAGGTTCTCCATCAACCGATATGCCTCGAAAGGGAACTATCCACCCGATACTTCACGCCGCCATCTCGTCTCTCTCTTTTCTCTGAGGGACAAACTTTCGACAAAACCCTCTCGTGAAGTCGTTGGCATGGAGAGCGATCTCCATGCCAGTGGAATAGACCGACATACCGCCACTGGCTATAAGTGTTATCACAATCATGACAGCGATTGCGACCAAGTCCTACAGGACCTACCAAGTCCACGCATGCACGCTTACACACAATGGACGCACCAATCAAACATCGACTCGGTACCGCCTACCGAGAAGGAGCGAAGACATAGGCTAAAAAAAGTGAACCCCATCACCACGATTGAACCTCAAGATACCTCATCCTCCGATAGCACCGAATTCACCAGAGACACCCAGACTTCACCATCCAAATAACAACACCAGAAAACTGCTTCCGCCCACCATGACATCAACGATGCGAATAAGCATGCGAAACGACGGGAAAACTGCTTCCCCCCACCATGACATCAACGCAACAAATGAGTCCTGGGATGCGACTAAGACGGCCCACGCAACAAATGAGTCCTGGGGTGCGACGAAGACGGTCTCCAGTGAAGACAACGTTCTAGCTCCTGCCGCGCCATGTCCTCCAGTTCTGGTTGCTGCCGCGCACCTGTCAGTAACGGTCTCGACAACTCTTATCCCTGAAGCTTCAGCCTTCTGCTTTAGTCTTCGGAAGGTGAAACCTCAATGGAGATATTCCGAGTTTCACGGGCGGACGACGGCACACGCGGTGGTGCGGTGAGTGTGCTGGGAAGCAAATACGTGGTGTGGCGAGTACGCTGGGAAGCTAGTTCCGGGTAGGGCAGATGTCACGCGCAATGTAGGCATCAAATCGCCATTCTACACTTGTTTGGGGGATAGCTTTACACTCCCACATCAAAGAGTCAAAAGATGAACGCACTCGGCGACAATCTGGTGGAGAGGCGAAGATTGCCTGTTCGGTCCATTCTATTGATATGGTTGATGCGAAACCACGCAACAAACGTTTAACGTCGTGACGGTTCTACGGCTTTCGGCACGAGGAACAAGAGGTCTTGATGGAGCAAGAAGCAAATACTTGATATCTACAGCAAACTGGTTACTTATTAGTATGCGACATTTTCTTGGAAACTTCGCTTCGTGTGGCGGTGGCTGTTGTTGCTGATCTTCTCGCACCAAGGCGAAGCTGCTGTTCCTTGTCCAACGAGACTCATCATAACCTCCCCCCCTCGGAAGGCAATAATTCACGGTGTCGGAGAAGTGATATTACGCCGCGGGAGATCCCCCCTTGCTGAAGACATCCAGAGGGTGTTTGCAGCAATACATGGTAATCCCGCGACGTACTTCGAACGTAGGAGAAACTCCCGCCCATGCCATGGCGTGGAGTACCCGATACACTCACAACTACTGGAAAACAACTGGACGATAGCATGCTATTTTTGCAGGATTGAAAACGGACTACGCGTGCCACATGATTGGACACACACGCGCAGTGCGTGGGAGGGTACTCGAGCAAAACAAACGGTAAGCAGCGGGCAAGCGCATGGGTTGTGTCAGTACGCTGGTCACACACAATGTGCGCGCTCAATGAATATTCGCAGCGACACAGACACACCAGACACCGAAAGAAAACGCGAGCGTGAAGTTGGTGTTGTCAGGAGGGTTATGTAGGCGGTTGTGTCAATAAGCTGGTCACACACAATGTGCGCGCTCATTGAATATTCGCATCGACACAGATACAGCAGACAACCGAAGAAGCGTGCTAGGGATGTTGTTAGTGCTAAGAGTTGGTTGGTTGATCAAACTGAGCCTGCGCTCTTGAACATTCGTCGGTATATGAACCTTGTGCTTGCGAGCATGGGATGGTTGCGAAGCAGCCGAATCGGAAGCGCGAGTGATGGAATAGTTCGTGGGGCATGACGCGCGTGGGAGATTCGACCGGCGTTTCAAACCGACCTCACGGTCTAGCAGCTGCCCCCGCGAGAGATCTCTTTTGGATCTCCGTTGGCACGACAAGCGCTGCTATTGCGTACGGGGGCCGTGCCGGATAATCCCCTCGGTCTTCGATAGTGCCTGGGTGGCACGACATGCCTTCAGAAACCCGTGCTCCAGACCGCGGCACCTCCCCCCTTGCAGAAAGCAGTAGTCCGCGGTCCCCGGGAAACTGTGCCGCGACGATCACGTGATATCCCCCCCACGAAAAATGGCGGAACTGTCGCCATAATACATAGGACGAAAACACACACACAACACACAAACACAGGTGGCAAGAAAACAAAGAACAAGAACATCACGACGTGAGACGTGCGTTTCCTCCCAAAGCGTCGAAAGGAACACTCAAGGTACCCAGTGGCTCTGGCCAAAGTCGCAAGAGCGGTCGAATCGGGTTCGGG